GATCTTAGAGGTCTTTTCCAACCTTAATGATTCTATAATTCGATGATTCTCCAGGCCAAACAAGCCCAGCTCCCTCAGCCTTTCCTCGTAGGAGAGATGCTCCAGTCCCCTCCTCATCCTCGTAGCCCTCCGCTGGACTCTCTCCAGTAGCTCCTCATCTTTCTTGAACTGGGGAGCCCAGAACTGGACGCAGCGTTCCAGACGCAGCCTTACTAGGGCAGAGTAGTGATATGGGTATCTCGGGGGCATGGGGCAGTGGTGGGTGACACAGAGCACCTGGGACCCCACTCCAAAATATTCTCCCTTGCTCTGCTGAAAGCCCCGGTGCCTTCATGATCCCTTCCCTGCAGCAGAATTGGTCTGGGGAGGTAAATTCGGGGGGGTGCAGGGCCTGGAAGGCACAAGAGGGGTGCTGGTGTTTCCCAATGCCCTTTTGCTGTCACCTCACCCTTCAGCAAGCAAAACTTGGTTGGTTGCGCAGAGTCCAGGGTCTCAACGGTGCTGCTGAGCGTGCGTGTGGGTGGGATGTGATCTCCTCGGGGAGAGAGTGGGACTCCTGGAGAGGATTTGCTCTGCAGCAGGCTGACGGGCACGTCTCCATTCTTCTGCAGGTTCTGCTCCACCCCAACAGCGGGGCAGCTGGGAAGGACGGCGAGATAGAGACACTGCGGCTGGCTCAGTACAAGGCGTTTTACACCACAGGTACCGTGTCCCTGCTAGAGATCGTAAAGTCTGGGGAAAAACTCCTGGAATTCTGGGTTCCCTGCAGATACAGGTAAAAACCAACTCGGGTTAATTCAAGCAAGAGCAAACCCAGGGAGGAGTAAGTGCCCCGCTGCGGCTGCGTGATGGGCTCTGCAGCCCGGGGTGGTTGGCCTCGGAAGCACCCTCAGACCAGCAGCAGGAGCCGGGCACCCAAAGCTGGGACGTGGTGGGACTGGGCGGTCGCGGGTGGGTGAGGAATACAGAGGTGATCCCTGGGCAGCCTGGGACTCCAGTTTTTTTCTCTCATTTCCTCCCTAGGAGGGGCGATGGCTTGCGACGGGAGCATTGGGCCAGCCGAGCATCACCAACCACCCCTCATTTTCAACCTGGATCGCGATATCCAGGAGCAGGAGCCTTTGGACGTGGCATCCCGAGAGTATCAGGCAGTGCTCCCTGCCATCAGCAGGGCTTACACCCGGGCTCTGGAGGACATCGCAACAGACAATGTCTCCGTTGCGGATTACTCCAAAGACCCGGCCGCGACGCCCTGCTGCAACGCGCAGCACGTGGCCTGCCGATGCCGAGCGCCCGCGGCCCGCGCAGCCATGGCGGACAGTCCGGAGGGAGCAACGCGGCTTTGTCTTTAAGCAAATAATTGCTCAGGCTGCTCCTTTCCCGAGCCCGGTTTCGGTGAGCGGGGCTGTTGTGCACGCCGGCTCCGGGCTGGAGGCTGGCCGCGGAGGAGAGGGACGGAGGCTGCAGTCCCCTTTGCTCCTTGCTGTGAAGCAGGGAGGTGAGATAGCTGTGTGCATGCAGAGGGTCCCCTTCTCTGCAGAGAAGGACTGTCCCCCGGCAGAGGAGGGGCTGCGGTACCCGGTGGCTCTGGAAGAAGATAGGCTTTTTGTAAGGCTCTTTAACTGAGAAAGAGCCAGAGCTTGGATTAAAGCTACCTTCTGTGAGAGCTGGCGTTGGGAGAGAATTCCTCTGGGCAATTCGCTTGGCTTTGCTTTCAACAAGGGCAAGGGCAGGGTCCTGCACCTGGGGAAGAACAACCCCATGCACCAGTACAGGCTGGGGCTGAGCTGCTGGAGAGCAGCTCTGTGGAGAGGGACTGGGAGTGCTGGGGGACAACAGGGTGACCATGAGCCAGCAGTGTGCCCTGGGTGCC